TGTGTGTGTGTGTGTGTGTGTCACTGTGTATGTGTGTGTCACTGTGTATGTGTGTGTATATAGTCAAAGTAACGAGTAACGTTTTCTATTAAATTAGACTCTTTACAGCGTTCATTTAAAGAAGAGTATTATTGTTAACAGATGTGACTTGTGCACTGTCGATTAACACTAAGAGGACTGTAAGTGGCTCCTGAACCATCGAACGTGGACAGACTAAACATTTAACGAATTAATTGGTTTCTAATTAATTCTCTAGTACTTAACAAATTTCTGAAGCTTCTAAACTCAACATTTTTGTCGAGGTTTTTGATTTGATGAAATCAATGAAAAAAGTGGGCAATTTCTAGACAAGGAACGTTTGGTTGAGAAATAAAAATTAAATCCAAGTGTAAAGTTAACATTTAAAAAGCCAGCCCTCTTGTTTCTAGAAACGACTGTAGTTACCCAAGATTGAGCACTTATTGTGTACTGAAAGTTACTAGTCACAACTGAGCCTTTCTTGTACTAAACGTGACTATAGTTACCTAAAATCGACGGTTCGCTTTTTAGTAAACATAACTATAGTCATCCAACACTGAACAACCATTTTTATGCAGTACAAGTGATTACATTCTAAATTTTACATTGGTTAACAATTCCGATTATATTAGAAATTTAAAGACCCTGTTCAACTGGTAAAAAGGATCAAATGTACATTAAAAGGAACAAGAATCTATAGTCAAATATTATATTATATAATAAAATAAATCTATAATTTATATAAAAATATGTTTTCCGGATAACACGATTCGTATAATCTTCCAATTGATCATTTATTTGTTTTCTTTATCATTGAATATATTTTGAGCAAAGTATTAACTGAAACAGTTAATCATTTATATGATACTACAGAGTAACAAATATGCTTAGTTTTTTTTTTATAAAATATGAAGTTCGCGCGTTCTATAAGTAGCGAAAAGGCTAACGTAAAGATATCCAGTAAATCTATCAATAACTCCTAAATTATCATCGTGTTCGTGTTCAGAAGCCACCAATCCAAAAAATATATTCCTCGGAGTTGGCCCGCGGGCCCTGCCGCTAGTATAGAAACATCAGAAGCATCAACAGTCGCGTTAAACTTTCGAATACGCAAAGAATATATCACCGCTATCGGGATGCGCGTTCAACAGCTACAAAAATAATACAATTACAGTTTTGGTCAATTGACTTCGAACGTTAATCATCCGCGTAACCTCAAAAATTTTCGTCCAACGATTCGTGAACTCATCAGAAGAAGCTTTTATATCCCGGTGAAATCGGTCGCGTGAAAACTGTCCGTAAGTATTATTTGGTGTTGTCGGTGTTCAAAACCCTTCCTTGCGTTACAATTTTAAAACATTACATAATATCTTGCAACACGGTATTGACCACTATGCGATAGTACTTCGTACGCGCGCGCGCGCGCGGGCGCGTCGCCGCGGCGCGCGTCCTGCGTGTTTTATTTGAATTTTATTTTTCTTAATTCCCACGCGCACGCCTCGATAAACTGCCTATTAGTTATTTATGCGGTAGTGGATGTAGTAATCATTGCAATGATAATCGTAACAATAATAATAATTTATTACATAATATTTATAGCTTTTATCTTTCTTTGTCTCTTATAGTACATCGTGTCTGTTCTCGCCCCCGATTAAAAATGTTACTTCCCCCGCGTTCCACTTAATACATACCTATTTTATCCTCTTTTCTTCCTTCATCCTTTCGAACATTCATTGACGTTTTAGTCCTGGCAGCCCAAAGAACTCTCAACAAGTTAACACGGTCTCTTTGGGCCTACTGGATTAGACTTTTTATTTTTGTTCTCCTATAATAGTAGTTTCTCTCCCGTAGTACGTTCCCTAATCATTCACACGTCCCTAGCCCCTCCCCCTTGAACCCCTAACTCCTTTATGAAATTCTCGCGCCATTCCTCTAGCTTTCTTTTCCCCGTAGATCGGATCTTGTTAACGTTTCAGGACGGTCTTCCTAAACTCCGATACTTATCGCCGCCGGCTGTGAGCCACAGCTCGGCCAATCAACTCCGCCATGGCGATCCTCGAATCGGACGTGTTAGAAAATAAATCTTCCGCGCGGAAGTGAGCGAGTTCCGAAACTCTGGAATCCTCTTGCCTCTCCCATCCGCGTCGCTCTCGTCAGTTGCCTCGTTTCCCGATCGCCAGGCGCGAGCGTTCGCCATCTTGTCGGCTCGTCGCGATCTTGCCTCCCAGCCGCCATCTTCGTTCAGGGAATTCGCATACTCGCAAGCCGCGAAGCTACGGTTTAAAACACGGTCAACGAACTTAACAACTGAAATAATCCGGCACGTATTTTTCTCTGCGTTGCAACAGTCTCCTGCCTTCTTCGAAAGAAGAGTTGAACCAAATGAAAACCTTCCTCATCCCTTTCGCTCCATCCTTCCCCCCCATAAAAATTCGAAATTGATCCTAGCCCGTGTCACCAAGAGCGTTTCGCGGGATTTCGAGGCGCGAAACGCCGATCACTCGCGTGATCACGATCAGAGAGTCATTTTGCACAGCTGTTCTCGTTTAGGATTTGTTCGTAATGCGTCCGTCCGAGATACGGACAATGTAGTAATACGCTCTATAAATTTCTAGGCCTGCTCTTCGTCGTCGTTTAAGATCTTCATCCGTCGCCGTCGTCGGCCGCGTCTTTTCTGTTTTCGCTGTGGCTCGACGCTCGTCCGAACGACAGGCTTGGTGAAGAGACTCGCGGCAGGGAACGGCTCCGTGTCTTCTCCAATCGGCGGCGCGACCTTCGAACGTTTAATGGCTCCTCCAGTTTAACGCAACGAAGTGTACTATGGAGCGCTTCGATCCTTCGAAATTCATCCCCGCGCCGTGTCTTTCCGGTTAATCGTTTATTGCTGTGTTGGAAATCGTATTCGGTCTGTCCTCGATCCAAAACAGTGTCCTGTCAGGCTGCGCCGCCGTTGGAGAACGGGATACTTTGGTCAGTGCGGTTTTCCATGAACAGATTCCGGACAAACGTGCCGTCAGGTTAATATAAGAAGGCGCTAGAAACCGATCGCTAGAGGACTACTGGCATGGCATAGTATAACTATTTTATATGACTGCTTCTAGAGTAGCGTCCGGAATCCGTTACTCGAAACGGTGACCAACGATCCCGCGGACAGTGGTGAGGGGGGGCATCGCCACTGGTTTCAACATGGAGCCGTTAGTATCTCTCCGTATGCTAGCATAGCGAGTGTCGTCATTGATACGATTCCTTGTGGAAAGTGTCGCTTTTGTGGAAGATCTTCCGTCCCTCCCTGGAGAGCTCTTGGCTCGCGAAGTTGTTCTCAGACTTCGGTCTGGGCAACAGACAAGCTGGAAGAGTCCTCAGCTCCATGCTGTGCACCTGGAAACCGATTTATCGTTGTAAATCATTTTTAGGTCTTCTTATTCTAATATTCAAAATTGAATTCTATTCTTCTAGCGTTTTAACTCTATTATATACTGGTTTACATGACATATCTAATCTAGACAATGTTACATAGAAAAATAATGATTATTGAATATTTGCATAAGTATATCTAAAATTATGAAAAATCATAAAAAATAATATTTATCATTTTACTTATAACAAAATAGTAATTATATATTATGCAACAGTTATCTAAAAAAAAATGAAAGAGAAATAAATCTAGTGAAAGAAATAGAAGCAAAATGAGAAAGTTCAAGCAGTTAATTAAAGGGTCTTTAAAGTGTCTTCAGTTTATTGCTCTGAGAGACATGATTGATCACGAAGAAGTTAACGAGATATGTTTACCGATTCTTCACTGGCGCTGGCGTGCGCAGCTTGTTCCGCGAGCGCGTTCACTACAGCGTTTATCGTTTTTGATTCGCTGCCAAGATCCTCCTCGCGATGGGCCACCAGGTTTGGGTTCTTACCAATTTTGTTTAACCTACAAAGAGAGCATGATTAAGCGTAGGGAATGTTGCACGGAACACAACCAACGATTATTTCACATCGATTGACTTACAAACCGTTTAGCAGTACACAGGTTTACCCTAACCAAATATTATTATCCTGCCCCACGACTTGCAACAGACTTGTTATTATTTGTTCTAATACCACTTGCACCGCTAAAGGTTTTACAATGTGAGGTACAAGACCGGGTAAAAGAAAGTCAGTAGCTTTGAAACGTGTCCATTCAGAGTCACGTTTCCATTCAGAAATACGTTTACAAATGCATTTAAAGATTATTCAGAAAATCTTCAAATTCATTGGCACAATGATTGCTGTAGAAGATGTTAATGGTTTATGTCAAATTTATGCTTGTTGACACAATGAGCTATTTGCGTTTGCAATAAATAATTATTTCACTTAACTTCACAGTGCTAATAATGCAATGATAGCGTGACAGTAAATGTTTCCAGTGCTACATAAATCGAAAATTTGAAAATATGTTGTTCATTGTAAGTACAAGGTAAATTTACTTTTGTTCAAGTGAAAGCTACCAAAATGTCTTCGTGCAAAATTCCGTGTTAGCATGTTCGTTTACCGATACCAATTTCCGAAAATCGAATTTCCACAGTTCGATGTTCCAATCGAGAAAGCTTCGACTGCGAGACGTGACTCTGCGTGGACGCAGCAAAAGAGAATCCAACTCATTTAGAAAATATGTTATGCAAACTTATGAATATAACATTACTATGTAGTGAATGTGTCGAGAGTGTAGAGATATATTGTCGCGATGTATCCACGGTAACCCAATGAGTTCATAAGATTCCAAATTCGAAACACGCGACACACCGTCCAGTCGAATCGGCGGTTGCGCGTTTAAACGGATTTTCGAACCAGAAGTGGCAAATAGCGTTTGTCAGTGACCCTCTCAACTCATTTCGAACGTGTTGTTCGCAAGTTAGTGCGCTCTCGTTGTAAACTTTCTCCCCCAAAAGATTCTGCACTGTCCCGTATTATAGAAACATCAAAACAGAGTGTGTACAACCGTATTCTCCGTTATCCTTCTTTCTGTATCATTTCCTTTTGGTATGTCCAATATTCCCACAGCAAGACAAGTTTTATTCTGTGTCGTGTGAATGTGTAGATATGTAAAAGAAGCATATCGTGTTCCAAATCAGCGCATACAAGAGTGAAAATTAACAAATCGAAGTATAACATGTTGAAAGAGAAGCGACATGATTGAACGTGTCTGGACAACAAGAACAATGATTGAATTCGATTCGTCGGACAGTACACAATGCTCGAAAAAAATCAACATGGAGGTGGGAGTGATGATTGACATCTAGTAGCACACCAACTCGATAGAACAAACCTAACCAAAGCTTATACCTCTCGGCGGCAACGCTTTCCATCGTTCTGCGCATTAGCGGATACTGGTCCAATACGGCGTTGAAATGATCCACCGAGAGGCTGAAGAGATTGCAGTAGGTCTCCGCGCGGACCGAGGCCACCCGCCTCGCGTTCGTCAGCAGGCAGATCTCGCCGAAATACGAGCCGTCTGACAGCGAGGTCGCTACCTCGCCGTTCGCCATCACGATATCGACTATGCCTTCCTGTATGAAGTACATTTTCGAGCCGATTGTACCTTCCTTGATGATAATATCACCTGCAACAGGCAACCACTCCGTGGCGTCATTCGATCGTCTTTTAACAGGATCATTCTTTCTTTCCATGCCGTTCGGATGTCTCTAGAGAACAAATGCTCTAACGCTAAAACTATCGAGCGAATCGACTAATATGTATTTTTGTAGACGAATTTCAAAACGGGTTTAAAATGTCGATTGTTTTATATTTTCGAACGCACATTAGACTAGTTCACTAACTAGTCAAATGGTTTTTTTAACGATTGCAAAAGTATAAATCTGAGATGGATCAATTTGATTCAGTTAACACTAAAATTAGTACACAAATATCAAAACGGGTTTAAGATTTCGATTGATTCACGTTTTCGAATTCGCATTACCGAATTAGTCAAGTCATTTTTTGGAAAAGTGTACTTTTTTAACAATTGCTAAAATGGAAATCTGAGATGGATCAATTTGATTAGGTTAACACTAGAATTAGTATTTCAAGGTCGATATTTCTCTATCTTCGATTCTAGCAGAAATTAAGTGTCTGTTTAAGTGTCTGTTCTTCTCGATGTTCGATATGGTTTGCAAACAGCAGGAGCTACACGGCTAAAGAAATCGCCGGAGAAATCATTCAGTTATGTAATAATTCTCAGTCTAAGATTCCAACTTTTTTTTGGGTTTCACGAATTATTTTTAGCATTCGTTCCACGAACATCGAGGAAGATCAACGTAGGCTGTCCCACTGTGTTCGGAAGGCTGCGCACAGTTTTTACGCAGGCCCAATTTAGCTCACTTAAGAAACTGTTACACGGATATATCATCCTCCTCTCAGGATCTTCTTAACAAGATACAATTAAACATAATTAATACAGCGGGTTCCGCCGCGCCGTCCAATCTGAGTGTATACCTGGTTGGAAGACTTCGTATCTCAGCTTCGTGACCACGTCCGAGACAAAGTTCGAATCGGCGTTGGCGAAGAATGGCACCGACGCGACCAGCGATCTGCAGTTGTAGTTGATCACGTCCTGAAATAAACGCGAAGACGACGTTACAAGTTTTCGTCCGCTGATTAAGAACGGATGCTAGTGAAACCAGCTTTTCGTCCAGGCGTACTTCTCTCAGTTTCTCGGACAACTCGCCGAGAATCAATTCCTCGTCGAAGAATTTGCCCTGGTAACGGTGTTCGAAGTACTCCGTGATCCTCTGTCTCATCTCCCGTGGTAACTTTCGATAGGCCATGTATTCCTCGACTTGTTTCACCTGGTTTAAGTAAGAACGTTCAGTAATTCGAAAGACATCAGCTTCAATCAAGGATTTACTCTTTTGATATTAGGAAAGTTGGCATTTCTGACGATTTTTCGTAAGACAATAATATTGATCTTTTTTAGAGATCTTTAATTATTCATATTTTCCATATGTATTATATTATTCAATTTTTCACAAATAACTAATAATCCAAGTTACTGGTTGAATAGCGAAAGGTTGGACTATATTTTTGGAAGACTCTAGATCACTACGGATCTAGACCGTTTAAGATTCCGTAAAGCAAACTTTTTTTTCTCAAATAAAGGGTATAATGTCCCTTTTTTGAAAATGACACTTTTTATTTATATTTATTAAATTGAATGCTATTGCTGCGTCGTCATTCATGTCGTTTATTTTAGGAACGTTAACTACCTTCTCTCGGTATTGTCTTCTAGAGGAATCGAGAGATTGGATGAGATTCGTCGCGTGTCCGAGGAAAAGTGCGTAACAGGTGGCACCACTGATCATACTGAGCATAGTGAGCCACATGTCGGTCAAGGACTGCGGTGGAAACCTTCCGTATCCTATGCAGAGCATGTGCGACATGGCTTTGAAAAGGGCCCATGAGTATTGTTCCAGCCAGAACGAGTCCTGGAAAAATTGGAGTGGAATATTACGTCAGCTAAAACCGTCCGCGAACCGAACAACAAACTTTGAGCTTCCGTGCTTCGAAGTTTTTTATGTTGCAATTTTTTTCGTTGAACCTGTTTCGAACCAATTAGAAAATAAATTAACATTTATAAATTATGCGAAACCTTTGCCTTTCTATTTCAAATATTGATTCAATATTTATCCATTCATTATACCAAACTGTAGATGCAACAGCTGAAACGATTGGTTTCCACTTTTACGTTGCCATTTTTTCTGAATCTGTTTCGATTAAAAAATAGATTAACGATCATAAAACGTACCTTTGCTTTTTTGATTTCAAATATTAATTTATTATTTACTGATTTATTATATTAAACTATAGACTCAACGAGTGAGACACTTCTGTTTTTCACAAATAAAAAATCAAATTTGAACGAGCATTAAATTGATCTGCAGTACCATCGATGCACGTGAAGGTACTTAGACAATCGGAATACTCACTTGCAACTCGTTAATGGCCACCCACGAGTTACTAGGAAACCCTTGGAGCATAGGAACCAGGAATTGCAGGCAGCCACTCCAGTGGCCGATCAGTAGCATCATGCAAATCAGGTTAAAAATCCGCATGAACACCGATGCCATATTCAGGAACTGCCAACAACAATGGTAAAAGTTTACTCTCGTGCCGGCCGTGGTTGTCACGATGTTGTTCACACTCCGATTAAAGAACTTCTCTCGTTATCCAAAAGCTCCGGTTGCGTAGTGTACAGCAAATAAAGCAAGTGTTGTACAAAAACGCGTCAAATATATTAATTCACTGAATACATTGTCAAAACTATCTTAATAATTGTTATCCAAAATTCTGAGTCAAAGACCAAGTAAACTACCTTGACGTTCCGCGATCCAGACCGAAATCAATCGTCTGAACAATTCGCATCTTTTTCTGATGTATAATTAATAGGAATACTATAAACAACGTTAACATACACTGTTCAATAATCTTTTATTAAAAGAATACAATACTATTGGAACAGAATTAGCTTTAAAAAACATTGTATTTCTTTCTAATGAAATCAGACTACAGTTTCAGGTCTGAACGTGAACGTTATCAGTGTACTTTCTCTCCTAAGTAGTCTTCGCTGTTCATACTTCCGGGTTTCAGTTCTCAGTCCAAAAAAAGCATGCTACATTAGAAAATACGCATCACGTGGCACACAAAAGAACAAGTCAATATAACCTAAAAAACGTTTATAATAATGATTACTCTACAAATGCTCTAACAGAAGAAACAAAAATAACTGTATATAGATAATATATATATATATATATATATATATATATATATATATATATATATATATAT